AGGCCGAGGATTGTCAGCAGGCCGAGGATTGTCAGTAGGCCGAGGATTGTCAGTAGGCCGAGGATTGTCAGTAGGCCGAGGATTGTCAGTAGGCCGAGGATTGTCAGTAGGCCGAGGATTGTCAGTAGGCAGAGACGTTTGTGTGGTCAGAGGTAACATTCTTACCTTTAAATCCTTCCTCTGGCATACAGACTGCGGAGAGAAACCAAAACAGGAAGAGATTAGTATAACGTGTCCCATGGTCCCGGCCGGGGGCAAAGTCACTGACCAGAGGTCCCGGCCGGGGGCAAAGTCACTGACCAGAGGTCCCGGCCGGGGGCAAAGTCACTGACCAGAGGTCCCGGCCGGGGGCAAAGTCACTGACCAGAGGTCAAAGACAACTATTCATGATAAAGGTGGCAGAGGACAGGTCAGAGGCCTCTCATGGGGCAGATTTGGGAACCTCAGGCAGAGGGCAGGTCAGAGGCCTCTCACGGGGCAGAGGGCAGGTCGGAGGCCTCTCACGGGGCAGAGGGCAGGTCGGAGGCCTCTCACGGGGCAGAGGGCAGGTCGGAGGCCTCTCATGGGGCAGAGGGCAGGTCGGAGGCCTCTCACGGGGCAGATTCTGGAATCCCCAGCCGCTCCCACACGGACACTAAGGGTAAAAGCCTCGCCGTTCCCTTACCTTGCATGACGTCATCCATGGCGGAGTAGTCTGCAATCGGCTCATCAGCCTGATGGACGACAAGAGAAAAGAAAGCCGACTCATTACCTCATGTAGTCACAGAGGACGCGCGCAGCTATGATGACGGGGTGAGGAGTATAAAGGGATTTATAATTGTACCTTCAACACAATGACAGATTCCGGAATGATCCCCAGGGAGCCCAGCGTGGCGCAGTCATCATTCAAGACTTTCCCATCAATGGACAGGTTCTGATCGAACGGCGCCACGGAGAAGGCGTGCATGATCTGTGGGCGGAGGCATCTGTTACAACTCATCCCATACCCCTCCCCCGCGTCTAAGTATCCGCCCCCCATTCACCCCCGAAACAAGGCCGCCCCGGTACCAGGGGTATTTATCTGTTCACATTCTGCAGTCTGGGGGTAAAAATACTGAAGGGGGATAATGACCCAACAAAAACTATAAAACACAACGATGCCCCCGGAGCTCAGATAACGAGCCGTCTCTTCACATTCAGGATATTAATCTTCTCTCATCAATACATAGGAGCCAAAACCGAGGATCCAATCACCAGAAGAGGGACCCCCAGGTCACAGCCGCCACATTCCCCATCATGCCCAGAGGTCACAGCCGCCACAGGAGGAGCTACGTCACCTGGATCTTGAGGTCCTTCAACGTCTGATTCGCAGAGACCAGCAATGCTTTCTCTCCTCGCACCTTCCTGTGCCGCGTGCTCCGCCGAATGCCCTGCTTCTGGAAGGACACCTGACCCTGGATGGAGATCTTCTGTCGCTTTGCTGCACCATTTGCCTGCGATAAATGCAACGACGAGGGACGCGGGGAAGAAATGTTAATTCTGCAGCCTACACGGACCCCGAGAAGACGTCAATCTATCCAGCAACACAAATCAGAATCAGCGAACCCGCGCGCACAATCAGCCAACCCGCGCGTGCGGACTTATATAGAACAGCGGTGCAGACATACCGTCGCCCAATATAAAAAGCTGCGCATTGATGAAGCCCAGCAATAGGTTTTAGGGTCTGCGTCAACCGGTATTTGTTCACTTCACTCTCATACAAGTCTATGAGAAAGCTAAAGCCAGTTGAAGCAAGTCAAAGGCAGGTTGGAAGCAGGCCAATCACAGGCCAGATGTGTTTAGACGAAGCACGGAGGTCTGCTGAAGATTTACATGTGTATACAGCATTGTGCAGGGAACATAACCGATGTCCTGTGACATCATAGATAAGCATGCATATAGAGAACACAACATTGCACCACAGCGCCACCTACTGCCCAGAGATAATATTACATCTCTGGCTGTCAGGAATACAGATCAATGACTTCGGAATGGTCTCAGAAGCATCTCAAACTGGTTCCGTCTACACAAGTCTATGAACACAGAACCTTCTAGATGTGCCCGGAGCTCCGCCAGCAGGGGACCTGGAGTGCTAACAAAGAGGGTCACAAGGTAACACGGGGAGGGGGGTGCAGGCAGGAAGTGCAGCAGCAGTACTGTGAAGTGGAGACGCAGCCAGCTTACTAGTAATGAAAGACATCACGACTGTCCGAGGCAGCCGCTGTGACCAATCAGCCTTCTGTAAAGCAGGCGGTGCCATACAGATCCAATTCTACAATCTCACAATGTATGGGCTCCGCAGCGTCATACTTCTCAGACACGCCCATCTACCGGCATACAGATAAAGGGGGCTTCTAACCTGGGGGAAGTCCGGATCGCTCTCCCCGTCCGGTCTGGGCTCCTCCTTTTCTTCTTCTGGGTCAGAACCGCTGACGTTGAGTTCCGGTGCCGCCTCCTTCATGACCTGCAGGGTATAGGAT